AACCCATCTAATCTGGTACCTATTACACGCCAAACTAAGACTGCTGTGGGGACAAAAAGTAAGACTGTTAAGTTAGCACTTTTAAACATCCGCTCACTTAAAAATAAATCACTTCTAGTCAATGACTTAATAACCACATACAACCTGGATTTTATGCTTCTAAATGAAACCTGGCTAGAAGACAGCTGCAGTGCAACAGTCCTCAATGAAACATCTCCTCCTAACTTTACTTTTATGAGTGTCTGCAGAGCTGTTAGGAGAGGTGGAGGAGTAGCTGCTCTTTTTAAAGATGTCTATCAATGTAAGCAAACATCATTTGGTAATTACCCGTCTTTCGAATATCTGGGTATTGTGTTAAAAGGCGTTCCACGCATTTTACTTATTATTCTTTACAGGCCTCCAAAATACTCTTCAGCCTTTGCTGAGGACTTTACAGAACTGTTATCAACAATTTCCTCTGAGTTTGACTGTTTTGCTATTGCTGGAGATTTTAACATTCACATAGATAATGCAGAAACCAATATGGCAAAAGAAATCAAAACTGTTTTAAAAACTTTTGACCTGATTCAGCATATACATGGGCCGACACACACTTGTGGACACACTCTAGATTTACTTATCAGTAAGGGTTTAAACATCTCATCGATTGTTATTAAGGATGTAGCACTGTCTGATCATTTCTGTATTTTCTTTGATATATTGATCTCTCCTGCCATTGAAGCTAGATCTGTGTCTGTCAAGAAGAGATGCATAAATGAGAACACTAGTGTACTATTTATGAAGGCTATATCTTCAACACCAAGCTTATCTGCTGACTCTGTTGATTTTCTCCTTGATTCTTTTAACTCAAAAGTTAAAAGTGTAATTGATGATATTGCTCCTGTGAAAGTCAGGAAGAGTGGTAGACAAAAAGCACCTTGGAGAAACTCAACAGCAGTGCAAAATATGAAAAGACAATGCAGAAAAACAGAGCGCATGTGGCGGAAGACAAAACTTGTAGTCCATTATAACATCTACAAAGACACCATCCATGCTTTCAATATGGAACTAGGCAAAGCTAGACAGACTTTCTTCTCAAATATTATAAACAGCAACTTAAACAACACACGCACTCTTTTTGCTACTGTAGAGAGACTGACAAACCCCCCAAGCCAGATTCCCAGTGAAATGCTCTCAGACAGCAAGTGCAGTGAGTTTGCTTCTTTCTTCTCTGAGAAAATCAATAATATCAGAAAGGTGATCAGCACATCCTTGAGTTGCGCTGGGGTCAGACAGATCAGACCACAACCAGAGATAGCAGCTACTATGTCTGATTTTGAAGAAATTGATGGCAAAATTTTAGAAGAAACCGTACAGCACCTTAAAACATCAACCTGCGCCCTTGACGCACTTCCCACATCTTTCTTCAAAAGTGTGTTAAACTGTTTAGAAGCAGATCTCCTAAAAGTGGTAAATGCCTCACTTATCTCTGGGAATTTTCCAAACTCCCTGAAAACTACAGTTGTCAAGCCCCTCCTGAAAAAGAGCAATCTGGATAAGACCATCTTAAGCAACTATAGACCGATCTCAAATCTTCCTATCATAGGCAAGATCATTGAAAAAGTTGTCTTCAATCAGCTGAACAAATTCTTAAGCTCTAATGGATACTTTGACAATTTTCAATCTGGTTTCCGATCGCATCACAGCACAGAGACAGCGCTCATAAAGATAATAAATGATATTCGCTTAAATACTGATAAAGGCAAATTATCAGTGCTGGTACTACTCGACCTCAGTGCTGCATTTGACACTGTCGATCACGACATACTTCTTGACAGGCTGGAAAACTGGGTGGGGCTTTCTGGGATAGTCCTAAAATGGTTCAGGTCATACTTAGAAGGGAGAGGTTATTATGTGAGTATAGGAGACCATAAGTCTGAGTGGACATCCATGACTTGCGGAGTCCCTCAAGGCTCAATTCTTGCACCACTCCTGTTCAACCTGTATATGCTCCCAATGAGCCAAATAATGAGAAAGAACCTAATCTCTTACCACAGCTATGCAGACGACACACAGCTCTACTTAGCCCTATCGCCTAATGACTACAGCCCCATTGACTCCCTGTGCCAATGCATTGATGAAGTCAACAGTTGGATGTGCCAAAACTTTCTTCAGTTAAACAAAGACAAAACTGAAGTCATTGCGTTTGGAAACAAAGATGAAGTTCTCAAGGTGAATGCATACCTTAACGCTAGGGGTCTAACTACTAAAAATCAAGTGAGGAATCTTGGTGTGTCTCTAGAATCAGACTGTTATGGGTAGACGTGACTGAATTGTCGTGAAAAGATGAAAGCACTCAGGAGAGGTTGGATGAGTTTGGTTCAGATGGGATATTTTTTATTTTTCCCAGTTAAGGCCAATGCAAGGCAATACAAAATTAACAAAACAAAAAAAAAAAACAAAAAAAAACTGTTTAGTAAATAAAGTAAATTGACATGAGAGTCCAAAAAAACAAAAACAAAACAACAACAATCAAATGTTACAGCTGTTTGAAAATTGACCTTAACACAAGTCACAATATTTAGCGTGAAGACAGACTTATGTCCTCTCACTCACGCTCCTCCCGACAGAATGACAACACTAAACTTTATAGTCCTGAGGTCACCCCTGGAATTGGAACATACCAACACATGATTATGGTGCAGGGGTGGCTCAGCTGACAAAGACATAAATGCTTAAAAACAGCTAAAATACTACTTCTATGAAACTAGAAAATTACAGAATATTATTTCTACATTTTCAGCTAACAATTGACAAGCAACAAGTCATATTCTACAGCTGCAAATAAATAACTCAAACTCCGGGTCATTTGGTATTGACCCGGAAGTCATAGCGTCATTTAAACCCCACAATCGCGGCAAATTTCCCTTTACACAAACACACCGGAGACGTCCGTACGACAAAGATGGTATGTCAAAGCTATGTTTCTCTTAAACTAAATAAACGGATACATACTGAAAACATGTGTTGCGTGATTATTGTAACTGATTATGACTGTAACGTAAATGACATGATTTTCTTTAAAACGGCAAGATATGTATTGATAGAAGTAGCTATAGCATATAAATCACCGCAGTACTAGCTGTTAAAAGTGTGCACACAAAAACTACGGGATATATGAGAATTTGTAGTGAAAGGCTAGAATAACAGCAGATTTGTAACAGTATAAATATTAACAGAAGACATTAATGTGCTAGACAAACACATACAGGTCACATTTGCACTCAGTCTTTGTGTACTGGAATAGGCAGCATATCGCTGCCGTGACGATATGCGCCCCGTCACACAGACCTTAGTTTCAGTAGTCATGTCAAAGCAATAACTAAATCAGCATACTATCATCTGAAAAATATTGCAAGAATTAGATGCTTTGTTTCCAGTCAAGACTTAGAGAAACTTGTGCATGCTTTTATCACCAGCAGGGTGGATTATTGTAATGGACTCCTCACTGGCCTTCCCAAAAAGACCATAAGACAGTTGCAGCTCATACAGAACGCTGCTGCCAGGATTCTGAGCAGGACCAGAAAATATGAACACATCACACCAGTCCTCAGGTCTTTACACTGGCTCCCAGTTACATTTAGGATTGATTTTAAAGTATTATTACTGGTATATAAATCATTTAATGGCCTAGGACCTAAATACATTGCAGATATGCTCACTGAATATAAACCCAACAGATCACTCAGATCATTAGGATCACATCAGCTAGAAATACCAAGGGTTCACTCTAAGCATGGAGAGTCTGCTTTTAGCTATTATGCCAGCCGCAGCTGGAACCAGCTTCCAGAGGAGATCAGATGTGCTCCTACAGTAGTCACATTCAAATCCAGACTCAAGACACTTCTGTTTAGCTATGCATTTACTGAATGAGCACTGTGCCACTGTTCGTCCGACTGTTTTTACTGTCCTTTATTTTATTTTTTTATTCTAAACTGTTTTAATTATTCTGATTTACTTTGATTATTTTAATCTCTTTATTCTTAACTGTTTTAATTATTCCTATTTCTTTTGATTTTTCTATGTAAAGCACTTTGAATTACCATTGTGTATGAAATGTGCTATATAAATAAACTTGCCTTGCCTTGCCTTGCCTTGCCTATTTAACACATAATTAAAATATTATAACACATAAATTAAATAACACATTATTACATTATATTCACACCATTGTTCTTTGTCCTTTTTTCTTGCACAGGAATTATCATAATCTTGCTAAGTCAGCTGTGTGTAATACTTACATTCTGTGGTACTGCTGTATGGCTCTTTCTGCGATAGTAAATCACACCAACAGTTACACCAGCAGGAACCAGCAGAACAGCAACAACTATTCCTGCTACAGCTCCTGAAGATAAACCTGAATCTGGAACATCTGAAGACAGACATTATTACTGGAGAATAAATGATAATACATACAATGTTCACTAATAATATCTCTGACTGATATTTACACCACTTTGGTCATCAGTTGTATGATATTGATTTAACTGATAAATGTGGTAGTTTTTATAACAACAGCAGATAAAACAGCATCAGCACTGTAAGCTCAACACAAAACATCAGAAGAATTAATAATATGCTTTTTTATGGTAATTACATTAATAAAAGTTAGCTTTTTTCTTTAGCTGTCCACAACCAAACACTTTTTTGAGTTGATTTGAAAACATTTGGACTGGAAATATTGCTCAAAGGAAAATGCATTGAATAACTGAATTATACCAATGACAGTAAGATTCAGCAGCAGAAACACCTGAAACACAAACCAACAGATGCTGGAGGATCTTTTGCTGAAAACAAACAAAAACTGCAAAACTTGAGAGAACTGTGAACAAGACTTTGCATAAGCCCTTTCTTGACTCTCGATCTGAAAAGAAACACTTTTGTCTGTGCCTAACTCTGACCTTTAAAAATATATAAACTGAAAATGTTATTAGTAAACTAAATGTTATTAAATGACTCACCTTGGACATTAACACTGAAGATCTTTTCACTGTCGCTGCTGCTGCTGAAGATCTTCAGTTTATAAACTCCAGAGTCTGTGTTTCTGGTGTTTGTGATGGTCAGAGATCCAGTCTGATGATCCAGCTTCAGTCTGTCTCTGAATCTCTCATTACACTGAACATCTGTACAGATCTTACTGAGATCTTTATTGATTTCAGCGATGCGAGTGTCATTATAATACCATCTAATATCATCTTGTTGGTTTGTTTGAACACCAGTGTTTAGAGTGACTGAATCTCCCTCCATCACTGACACTTCATCTGAACCAACACCAAACGCACCTGAAGAAGAAACAGTTAACATAAGAAAAACAAAACTATGCAACTATTATTTTCTAACAGATCAGATTGTGGGCAGAGAAATATGTCTGGATTCGTAATGTAACAGATGGAAACAAACAGCAGAAGAACATCATCGATTCACTCTTTCACTCATCAGACAAACATGAATGATCTTAACACACAACCGACAAAACACATCCCTTTACCCCCTTTCACTATTTGCATGTTCATATAATCAAACATTTTCATAGTCTCATACTGGATATTACATGGATGAATACCCATAATATTTCAGAAAGCTATGCAAAGCTATACGTTCACCGAAATAAAAATGTTAATGTAAATTGTCTTACCGTAGTCGAGTAAAATCAAGATCACCGAGAGCAAATTTAAGAGAAGCAACATTTTCCCCACTTTCACCCTTTAAAAAAGTCAATGAAGATTCTGATTCATAAAAGCGTTCCGTTCTTCTGCAGATTGCAACGTAGTTCTAACTAGTTGAAGTGAAAGTATCTGAGGCTTTTAATATAGGCTACCTATAGAAGGTGGCGATGACGTTTTCTAATATGCATATTATGCAAAAAATGCTTTTTGCCGTGTTCCTTTTGTAAAATAAGCTATAATATAAACATAGACCAACTTTTATCGCATATTACATTGCTTAAATCTAACCCCCCAGAGTTGTTTTTACAATTTTAAAGAATTTGAAGAGGCCTACTGTTGAGTAAAGTGATTTATTATTTTAGTTATTCTAATAATAAAACAAGGGAAACATTAAAAAGTTTCTATAGATGGCTACAGATCATGTTACAGCAATGTGAAAGCAGACTTGTGGAAATAAAATACATTACTGTACATTGAATTGATTCTATCCTTATGACCTTTTAAAACCTATGCTGTTCAGGAAGGCAGAACTCAGGAGAGGAAAACCCAGAGTCCATAAGCACCTGGTAGATGAATACTACACTCTGACTGCAATAAATCATGGGTCTTGTCATTTTCATTTAAAAGTTAAGGTGATAATAAACAATAAAATAAAAAAATATAAAAAAATAGTGAGAACATTTCACCAATAAAACCATTTTTTTAAATCATTTTTATATCCTCAAGATTGGACTTGGAGTTTATATCTCACCGTTCTGAACATTTTTAATTTTTATTTTTATTTATTTTATTCCACAGCGGCAACAAGCTTCCATTAATATCACTCCACACACTAACTAAATAAATTAAAAATATATACAATTTTACAGGACTCAGTAAAAGGTTGTTGTTGGTCAGTTGGTTCTGTTACTGAAAGATACAAGCAAAACAGCATGTATTCCATAATAATGCTCCAGTGAGAAGCATTACAACTACTTCACCCCTTTAACTCATTTCTATCTTTACATGGAGTAAACATGGCTTTGAGTATCATTACAAACCACCAGGCTCAGGGCAACATTAACAAAGAGGACACACGCAAATTAAATTAAACCAAAAGTAGATCTTCATTTATTATGGTAACATAAATGAATTAAACAAACAACATCGAAACAGGAAAAGAAATAGAAAAAGAACAAAAGAATAAATAACGAAAGAATACACAAAAAATGGTGTTGGACAAGCCTCAAGCGACAACCTCATAACCCTTTTATCAGTTGACTCATGTAACCCACAGAATGAGCTTGACAGAGCAAAACAAACAGAGAGAGAACAAAAAACAAAAACCGGGAAATGCAAACGACAAACCAGTTTGTGAACACTCAAGAGCAGATGGACTGCATCTGTAACCATAGTTATACATATGAATAAATATCTGTAGATACTCAGGATTTAGTTGATCATTAACACAATACAAAAAGACAAAGGCGTTAGATTACGTGACATTAAAAAGTTGCCATTGTTTAAAAACCTGCAATGTTGAGTTCATACATTGAACACACAAACCAGCATTTACTCTCCTGTGAAAGGTTTTCCCCATTTCTTTGGGTTTTTACATTTTTTTTTTTTTAGTTTGTTTTGTTATCTGGGAAAACTCAGTGGATAATTTGAAATCTTGACCATTTCAAGATGGCAGTTGCAACAACATGTCTGGAGCGGTCGAATGTGGCATATACAAATACATACGGAGTTTCTGCCATAAATGAGTCAACTAAAATGACTTGGTGGGAACTGGTGAATGATCAACATAACTTTAATATGAAATAAACAAACAATTAAAATGAAAGTAAAGCGCTAGTCATCCATGAGGGACGACTCACACCACCGGCCTTGCTCCGTTCCCCCGGCTCATGGCCCCGCCCAGTCCGGTTCCCAGATCGCACTTGCCTCAACCGCCTCACTCCATTCCTCCACAATAAAAATAGTTAAAAATGGCACTTGTTTGAACAGCCTCACTCCGTTCCTCCATCATAAAACAACAACACACTGTCCTGAAAAAAAGAATAATCGACGACTGATCGCACCCGGTGTGAATCGTCATTAGTGATGGGAAGTTCAGACCATTTTACAGACTCGGATCTTTTTTCAAGTCATTTTGTTAATTTCAAAAGAATTAAAATGTTACATGTTATTGGTTCGACTGTCACGTCACGTGCTAAAGAACTAACGACTCACAGCCGAAATCTCAGGAGGTGAACTAATCATTTCTCTTTCTGGTACCGACAGCAAAATGAACAAATCGTTCATGATCGACCCATCACTAATGTTCATGGCGTACGTACCTATGCATTGCTTAATCGGGCTCATTCTGAAGGGCAACTACTTTTTGAAAAATAATCAGTATTAAAAGATAGAATGAAGAATGTATATTCTTAATCATATATCCAGTTGTGTGCACTACATCGAGACCCTGGCTCTTTACTCTCTAATAGTAAAGTGTGCTTTTGGTAATATTGCGGTGACCCAAGGGGAAAGGAACACACTTTAAGCTCCTCCTGCTCCAGCTGTGCACACCACTGCATTTATCATTCATAATGAGCCTGTACATTTATTCACACACCACATTAACAGCTCAAGTATTTTTAGCAGATAGTCTTATTAGATCAGAAGATGTTTCACATGATTTTTCTGTTCTGTTTGTGCTAGTGGTGCCTGACTGGTAAGTTAAAAAAAGCAAATTATCAAAAAATCATTTTTAAAACACTTCAGAATTAATCATGAAAAACAACAGAATTATTATACGTAAATTCATTAGTCAAAAAGTGCAGGAACCTGGTGGAAAATATCGATAAATCAACTGTTCATGTAATACTGATCAACATACAACATATTGATCATATTCTAACATTTCATCATGTTGAGCTATATAACATTGATTTGTTTTTATGTACATTTGCTCACCTGTCTAATAAAGCACTTGCAAGAGCGGCGTCGGGGCTCTCGGCATCTCGAAAACGCCACGCTGATATTGATCCTCGTTTTAGTTCTCCTTTTGTCCCAAAGTCTGCTTGCCATGGTCCATAATGTTTGAACGAAACAACAACAGCGTGCCGCTGTCGCCATGGTTACTAAGGCAGTACAAGCGGAAACCAGTGATAACGCGGATATTACGTCATTGACAGGCGACGAGTTACAAGGGACGGGCACTATTTAAAATTGTGAATTTCTCTGAATTTACAAATTCTCTGAAACATTTAGGCTAATATAAGTACACAATTAAAATAAATGTATAACACTGTGCAAGTGGTTTTTGGATATTTTAATACAAAATCTTACATTTTGTAACTTTAACGTCTGTGACACTATAACTACTCTCTACAAAAACCGGGGGTCACCACAATATTACCAAAGGACACTTTACTATTAGAGATTAAAGGGCCATGGTTACAATATGTTCCAATACAATGGTATTGTGACGATCGGCAGCTGTAGTGCCCTCGAGAGCCACTGGAGGGCACTCTCTCATTGTGTTATGTTTTCCTCATGGACTCATTATGTTTTACTATGTTCAGCTGTGTTTCATTATTGGTTATTGAGTTCCTGATTTAAGCCTGAGTTTTGCCTGTGTCCTTTGCGAGTTGGTTGGAAAAATGGCTGAGTTGAGAGGAATGAGGTGTGATCCGGGAGGTGCAGGAAGTGAGGTGGATGAAGGAAGTGAGATTGAGGTAGACACGGGTAACGAGGGAAAATCAAACAACGAAGAATGGAGGATAGTGAATCGAAAAAAAATGAAAAGAAAGCAGAGAGAATCTGATGGAGAAAAAGGAGAGGAAGAACAAAGTTCTGAAATTAAAGTCATTCTGCGATTTCAATCCCCTTGTACATCAAATCCCTTGAAGGTTAGTGATGCAATATACAAATTGGTAGGTGAAGTACAGTTTGTTAAAACTCTAAGAGATGGGAATCTACTGATTATATGTAGAGATAGAGTTCAGCAGCATGGATTAATGAAGTGTAAATCATTGCTTGGGAAGGAGGTTAAACCACAAGTATGGGAAGACAGAAGGAAGGTTATGGGAGTAATATCTGGAGTATCAACTGAGATCACTGAAGAAGAAATCAGGGATAATGTAAGAGGAGTGAGAGTAATGAGAGTTAAACGTTTACCTTTTACAAGGGATGGTGTTAAGGGGCCCAGCCTGTCTGTATTGTTGACTCTAGAGGAAGATAAAATTCCTGAAAGAATCAGAATTGGGTATGTCAGCTATATAGTAAGACCATATATCGCTCCCCCTATGAGATGCTTTAAATGCCAGCATTTTGGGCACATTGCAGCAGCTTGTAAGAGTAAACTACGTTGTGCCAAGTGCGGAGGGGAACATGAATACGGGAAATGTGAGAGAGGAGCTAAAATCAAGTGTTGTAATTGTGGAGGAGAGCACAGTGCTGCTTACAAAGGATGTGATGCACATAAAAAAGCAGTTCAAATTCAGAATGTGAAGGTAAAAGAAAAATTAACGTACGTTGAGGCAATTAGAAAGGTAAAATCTAATGAGGATAATAGTAGATTAGCACCTGTGACTCAATCCCCAGTTCAAAAATTGCATAAGTGTTGCAATATTACCAAGGATACACTTATAGTGGAAAA